AGACACTCAATACAACACACACACACACACACACACACACACACACACACACACACACACACACACACCACATTCAGGACTCTGCTCATTGGCAATGCTGAAGTTGTATTCCTTTGTAATGTGGTTAACACAGTTCTCTGAGACACTCTGCTCATTGGCAATGCTGAAGTTGTATTCCTTTGTAATGTGGTTAATTAACACAGTTCTCTGAGTATTCTCTCCCACTTGTTATTATGCCTTAAACAATGTCCCATTGCATCTATCTTGGCTCTTCCTTTCCAAATACAGTGAGCTTACCTACCCTGAAAAGATTCTCTGGGAACTCTCATTCTGGCACACATTCACTCTCTTAGCAGTAAATCACATTTTGGATCTGTATCACATACCTGTCTCTCCCACAAGAATTGCATATACATGTTTACACTTAATTGAATTTCATGTATTCTTTTTCTTCAAAAGAATATTTTGTTCACATTTTATCTCAAACAGCAAAATTCCCTTAGTGCAGCTGGATTCAGAAGCAGTGTAGAAAGTGATATAATACCTTCAATTCAGAGATTGACAAATCTCTGAAATAATTTAGGTTGATAACCAAGATTAACATTTAATGTCTGGTCCCTGCAAGGGACCAGAGGATATAGAGAAATGTAGGGACTAAAGGTCAAATGTATATGTAAATGCTGCTTTCTCAATTTCTTAGCATCTAATTTGTAAGTGGATTCACTAAAGATTTAAAACAGAACTGTGAGGAAGATATATTTCATGAAACTTCCCCTTGCACCTTTAATGAGAAAATTTCAAATTAAATAGGAACATAGTAATTATATTTAATATACAAAGTCATATAAATCTTTACATTGAGTTCCAGTGTAATAAAAATATCGAAATATCCAATACTACATTGTCAAGAATGGTAGACAGAGATGCCATGGTTTACTGAAGCCTAGTTATTTTCCTATTTAAATATTTTTACCAGAGCATATTTACTACATTCTAAATGAAAAATATTTGAGAGTTTTGAGCCCAAAATTATTTCTTGCACTTTAAGAATTTTTACAGCTTATTCTGCCCATGAAAAGAAATATTAAAATACAAAAACAAAAAAATTCAAAAGTAAAGTCAAAAGATTGCTTACAATCTTCAAAAGGATGTTTTACCTTCAGACTATTTCCACATGATAACATTAGAAAGCTTTCATATCCTGTGATAACAGTTTCCTTTGGCACCTAGCAATCCAAGCAAATCACACTTTTGGGCTTCAGTAACATATGAATGGGGATGCCTGGCACCAGTGCTGCTATTCTTGGAAAGTCACAGGGCACATCTTCACAGGCACATTTTTTTTTCCTCATCTCATTCAGCACCATCCAACACAGCATGTCTGTCTTAGCTGTGCTCCAGGCAATGGATTGTTTTCAGCATATGCCTCACATACTTGCTCTTGCTGTTACAAAACACAGTAATTTGGGTGTTTGTTTCTTTACTGTTCATTCCTGGGATTGCCACAGAATTAACACTTACTTAATCTTCTACTCTGAA